TTATTTCTAAAAGCAGTAATGTAAGGCACAGGCAGAGTAGTAAAGAGGTTTAAAGTTCTCATCTCTACTGAGAGCACAGTAAAACAATAATTTGCCTTACAATATCACAAGTTAAGATGCATGTTGTAAATTCTTAGATAGTATCTAAAAAGTAACAAAAAAGGAATTGAGGGGGAATTAACATGTGAATAAGTGAAAAGAAGAAAACTTTAGAGATGAAGGAAAAATACTGAGATTGTGTGTATAATGGAAAGATATTAGGTATTATATCACTTACAATTAGATTAAATAATCCAATTGAACAACAAAAATTTTCAGACTGGATTCAAGGAACACTCAGCTATATACCATCAAATGTGTAAGAGGTAGGGAGAAGAGATAGCATGGAAAAAGGCTGAAAGTTTTACAGTTAAATAAAGAATATGATACAAACACTGATCACCATATGACCAAGTTAGATATTTTCATTCATTTATAAGAATGAACTAAGGAAATATATTACTAATAACATAGGCAGCTATTTCATAATAAAGAAGAGGAAAATACACAAGGAATATGTGGGTTCCATAATTGCATATTTATGATAATTACAGACTACAAAAGATAAGGTTGGCTAGATACAAAGGTAAAAGATACAAACCACAATTGTATTTGGAGATTTGATAGAACTCTCAATTCCTGATGGAGTAAGAAGACAATCACAGACACACAAAGAGGAATATTGAAAATATGAACAACAGTGCTGGGTGGTGGTGGCATATGGCACTGGGGAGGTAGAGTCAGGCAGATCTCTGTGAGTTCAAGGCCAGCCTGGTCTACAGAGTGAGTTCCAGGACAGGCTCCAAAGCAATACAGAGAAACCCTGTCTTGAAAAACAAAAACAAAAATGACAAAATGATAAACAAAACATTTGTTTTGTGTAAATATACACAGAAATTTTTAAAAAAATTATAGAAATTAAATTCAGAAATGTAGAAGAGGAAAATAAGAAATTATACCATAATTGGTTATTGTAAGAATACAATGCAGTTTAATATTAGATATTTGATCAATATAATAAACTGTATTAACAGATAAAATTGAAAAGCAATATGACTATCCAAGTGGGTGTTGATAAGTCATTCAAGAAAAGTCAGTACATAGTAATAATAGTGTTAGCAAATTCACATGGAAAAGAATTTCCAGTGTCCTTAAAAACTAATAGCTAACATGACTGTCTTAGCTACTTTTCTGTTGGTGTGACAAGACACCATGACCAAAGCAATTTAAAGAGGATGGAGTTTATTTTGGGCTTACTGTTTCATAGGGTGAGTCCATGATGACAGAGCAAATGCATGGTGGTAGGAGACTGAGAGAGCTAACTGGAAATGGTTCACCCTTGGTGAAACACCTCCTTCAACAAGATTACACTTCCCAATCTTCCCAAACAGCTTCCACCAACCAGGGACAAAGTATGCAAACATATGAGCCTATGGGGTCCATTCTCACTCAAAACACCACAATTACCGATGATAACTAATTGAGAAGTCACCCTGGATATCAACAATGAGACAAAACTACTTAAATTCAAGCCAAGACTAAATTCAGTCCCAAACAGAGGAATAAGGTAAATAAGAAATAAAAGTCAAAATGATTGGAAAGGGAGAAATAAAATTATATTTTTTAAATAACACAATTAATATATAAAAATCTATAATGTATTAGAACTGATAAAGCTGGGAATAAAATTGGATGCATAGTAAGATCACATATGAGTTATATTTATATAAAGAAAGAAATAAAAATTTAATACCCTTAAGAAGGTTTTCAAAATATTGAGTGCTTAGAAACAAATCAATAGCACAGCAATACTACTTATACACAGGAAGCCATAACACATTTTTAAGAATAATAAAGATGTAAATAAACTGAGGAATTTAATGGGTACTAACTGGAAGAGTTAAGAGATGTGCTGCCATAACCATCTTATTGGGGATTTGAACTCAGGTCCACATGTGAAAAGCAAGCACTCTTTCCCACCGAACCATTGTCTCCCCAGGCCCCATTTTGTTTCCTTGTTTAGGTTCTGCTAATAGGAGTGTTAAATGTTTACACAGATGTACACTTAAAATCTGTGTCCTTTCTAAACATATTACACTTCAAAACAAAAGTAAATTGTGTAAAATTCAAGTATGAATCCATTGTCATTAGTTTCTTCACAAAAGTCATTTCTTTACATACTTCAGAATTATTTTAAAAATTAATATGCCATGTTTTAAAAGTTTCTTGTTAGTGAGAGTTAACTCAGCAAATGTTTATTTAAAGCTCACAGCTGCTAAGATCTGGATGACAATCCAGGGTGCATATGTAACTTAAAATGACTGTGACACATAGAGTTAGGAACAGGAGGAGGGTGGCAGAGCAGCTGGTGGCTGGTGCCTGGTCAGGAGCAGACCTCTGGGGCTGGCAGTAACCGTGGGCCAGAAGATGGAGCATGATGAGATGGTGATTGGAGTAAGAGCCTGCAACACACAAGAGGCATATCATGGGTGCAGGAGCCCTTTTGTACAACAGCAGCATTATACAAGAGCAGTACTGCTGTGCAGTATTGTGTAGAGACCCACAGCCTCAGCACTGGGCAAAGCATCTGGGGTGATAGACCATTTGTTGCTCTGTAGGATTTGCTTTGAGTATTTCAACACTGTAGTGAAAATCCCCAGTGCTCTCCCAAGTATTGTTCCTCTGTAGAGGGAAAGTCTGGGCCTATAAAACTCAGTGTCCAACCTGTTGTGTAACAGTCACGCAGACCTGAGAAACAGTAGCCTTTTATATGACTTTGTAAAAAGCATGAATTTACACGAACTCGCCTTGGGCAGTTTTAGAGTCACTGCTCATATCTCCCGTGTCTTTCACCTCAAAGGAAGTTGTTGTCAAAGTACATGCTGCTGAAGTCATCAAACATTCTTTCTACCAAACAAGGGAGCAGGTTAATGGACAAGTTCTTTTATCAGAGGTTTTCATTGGAGTTGCTGGAAAAATAAAATGACGGGAAGTTCAACCCTCAAACAGGGCCAAGCACTTCTTCAGAGACTAAAGAGACTCATTGTGTAGGAAAGATGGTTCCTAGTTCCTTAGATACTATATGCCTTGGAAATGGACACTACAGTGGCTGGTACAGTTTTTGGGGGTAAACATTACAGAAAGTCTTGTTCATAAGCATCTAGACAGTTAGCTTACCAAATCAAGAAAAAAAACCTTAGAAATTCTGCTCACAAAAGGAAGTTGATGTCCCAAACTGCATAACTTGCTCTGTGACTGTGATTTAAAGAAAACACTAAACTAGTAAGGATTATCTATTTAAGGAAACAAACAGCAGCTTCTTAAAAGCACCAAGAATTTGCACACATGTACAATACCTAGTGTGATGCTTTGCACTCCAAATCAGCAGTTGAAAGAGTGCAAGACATTAAGAACATGGAGAAGATCAGAATGCCTCAAAGCAAGGAGACACAATGCTGGTGTCATGGCTTTACAAAGGAACAAGCAGAAAAGGAAATAAGTAAAATCCACAGCACAGATTGGGAAAGGCATCAGAATGAATTCCAGTTTCTGGTGGATCTGATCAGGCTACAAATGATACATGAAAACTGGCAGAATGTCAAAAACCTAAGTATCAAAATGGATGAGCCCACAGAGAAGTTGCCATTGTGTGTGTATCAGTACAAGTATGGGACAAGAAGATGGGAACACGAATTTCCCGGGTGTGATCCTGGTAACAAACACCTTCCATTAATTAAAGTTGGACTTTTCCCTCCCACAGCAGTCAGGGCCCTTGAGACCAGATGGTTCTCCTAGTTGTACTGATATTCCTCTCTCAGTAATTAGATTCATGAATAGTTGTAGTTCTGGCATGGTAAAAAAGATTTTCTGGCTGGTTCCATGATTCATGGCTTTAATACCAGTACTCAGCATCAAAGGCAGGCTGATCTTTCCAAGTTTGAGACCAGCCTGGTCTACATAGTGAATTCCAGGACAACTGGGGCTACAGAGAAAAACCCTGTCTCAAACAAGCAAAAACAAACTAACAAATCTTCTGAAAGAAGAATGGGCCCGGGAACAAAAAAATGGTCAAGACAGAGAAGTTCACCAGGAGAGTTCACCAGCTTTGGGCAGTGCACAAATAACTTCCCAAGAACTCTTGCTATTTAAGAATTCTTTAAAGTCCACTTTCATATTCTTTCCACAGGGGAACCAATTTAAAAAGCAGCTTCCTGGGCACTGGTGGCACATGCCTTTAATCCCAGCACTCAGGAGGCAGAGGCAGGTAGATCTCTGTGAGTTTGAGGATAGCCTGGTCTACAGAGTGAGTTCCAGGACTGGCTGAAAAACAATACAGAGAAACACCATCACCACCACCACCAAAACCCAGCTTCCTTTCACCCTCTTTACTGTAACAAGCAGAGGAACCCATTAATACTTTTGTTCTAATTCAAATATTTTGCTGTTTTTTTTTTAATTCCACACCAGGCTATCAGCATCCAACAGTTACTGCTGGTTGTTTACCAAGTTGAATGAATTTGTTTGTTATACCCATGCATATTTTACATAGAGTATGTGTATAAAATAACAAAGTTAGTATTATAATTTTTGAAATGTCAGAAGAGTTAGTAGTTGAATTTAACAGTCACAATAACTTAGAAACATTTGTATAGTTTTGGAAATGGAGCACCAAGATGATTACTTAGTATTTTTTCACTGGGGTCAGACATGTCTTTAATACTTTGAATATTAGCTATTAAACCAAAATAAAAAGTGAAATAAATGGATTTTAAAAAGGGGAGAAATAAGGGAACACGAAGAAAAAGATACATGCAATTGTGAATAAGGGCACTTGGTGGCGCTGCAGGCTAAGCTTGTGAATAATGGGCTTTGCTCTGCTGATGCCCGGGAAGCCATTACTAGGCATCAGAACTTAGACAGTTCCCCCCAAAAAAGGTGGTAGTCCGGCTGGAACTAAGAGAGCAATCTTCCGAGAAGGCATAGCTCCAATAGCAAATCAGTGGACAAATTTTAGTTCTGTTATTTCATCAAAACACATGAGTGGATTCTAACAAGATAAAAGGCACTGCACCTTCTGGATCCAGTGAGAGCAATGGAGACAGCCCTAGCAAAAACGCCACAGCAAAGGCAAGTCATTTTTCTTATTATATTGTTTCTTTTGTGTCAATCTGGCTCTGAGGCAATTAGATATTCCATGCCAGAAGAAACAAAGACTGGCTACTTGGTGGCTAACCTGGAAAAAGACCTGGGGCTCAGGGTTGGGGAGCTGGCCTCTAGAGAGGCACGAATTCATCTCAGAGGGAACAAAGAGCTCTTGGGGCTGGATGCAGAGACTGGGAATTTGTACCTGAAAGAAAAACTAGATCGCGAGGTGCTGTGTGGGGTGACAGAACCCTGTGTGCTGCACTTCCAGCTCATACTGGAAAACCCTGTGCAGTTCTTCCAAACTGACCTGCAGCTCACAGACATAAATGACCATTCTCCTGAGTTCCCCCACAGGGAAATGCTCCTAACAATCCCGGAGAGCGCCCAACCAGGGACTGTGATTCCTCTGAAGGCAGCTCAGGACTCTGACATGGGGAGCAATGCTGTTCAGAACTACACAGTCAGCCCCAACCTCCATTTCCATGTGGTCACTCACAGTCGCGCTGATGGCAGGAAATACCCAGAGCTGGTGCTGGACAGAGCTCTGGACAGGGAGGAGCAGCCTGAGCTCACTTTAATCCTCACTGCTGTGGATGGGGGGTCTCCACCCAGGTCGGGGACAACCACAGTTCGCATTGAAGTTGTGGACATCAATGATAACGCTCCCCAGTTCGTACAGTTGCTCTATGAGGTGCAGGTCCCCGAGAACAGCCCCCTTGGTGCCTTAGTTTTGACAGTCTCTGCCAGGGATTTAGATGCAGGACCTTATGGGAATGTAGCCTACTCTCTGTTTCAAGGTGGTGGAGCTTCTCAACCACTGGTAATAGACAAGGTCACAGGAGAAATCCGTCTGAGCAAAGAATTGGATTTCGAGGTAACTAACCTGTATAACATAGAAATTGCAGCCACAGATGGAGGAGGCCTTTCAGGGAAATGCACTGTGGCTGTACAGGTGTTGGATGTGAATGACAATGCCCCAGAGCTGACCATTTCCAGGCTCACAAGCCCTATCCCAGAAAACTTGCCAGAGACTGTAGTTGCTGTTTTCAGTGTTTTTGATTTAGATTCTGGGGAAAATGGAAGGATGGTGTGTTCTATTCAAAATGATCTCCCATTCCTCTTAAAACCCACTTTTGAGAACTATTACACATTAATGACAGAGGGGCCACTGGACAGAGAGAGCAGAACTGAGTACAACATCACCATCACAGTCACTGATCTGGGCACACCCAGGCTCACAACCCAGCACACCATAAATGTGGAGGTGTCCGATGTCAACGACAATGCCCCTGCCTTCACACAAACCTCCTACACCCTGTTTGTCCAGGAGAACAACAGCCCCGCCCTGCACATAGGCACCATCAGTGCCACAGACTCAGATTCAGGTTCCAATGCCCACATCACCTACTCGCTGCTGCCCATCCATGACCCGCAGCTGGCCCTGGATTCGCTCATCTCCATCAATGCAGACAATGGGCAGCTGTTCGCGCTCAGAGCTCTGGACTATGAGACCCTGCAGACCTTTGAGTTCCGCGTGGAAGCCACAGACCAAGGCTCACCAGCGCTCAGCAGCCAGGCGCTGGTGCGCGTGCTTGTGCTGGACGCCAACGACAATGCGCCCTTTGTGCTCTACCCTCTGCAGAACGCCTCTGCGCCCTGCACTGAGCTGCTGCCCAGGGCAGCAGAGCCAGGCTACCTGGTCACCAAGGTGGTGGCTGTTGACCGCGATTCTGGCCAGAATGCCTGGCTGTCTTTCCAGCTGCTCAAGGCCACGGAGCCAGGGCTATTCACCCTGTGGGCTCACAATGGTGAGGTGCGCACTGCCAGGCTGCTGAGTGAGCGCGATGCTCCCAAGCACAGGCTGCTGCTGCTGGTCAAGGACAATGGCGATCCTCAGAGGTCTGCCAGTGTCACTCTGCATGTGCTGGTGGTGGATGGCTTCTCTCAGCCCTACCTGCCTCTGCCTGAGGTGGCGCAGGAACCTGCAGAAGAAGATGATGTCCTCACACTCTATCTGGTCATTGCCTTGGCTTCTGTGTCTTCGCTCTTCCTCTTGTCTGTGTTGCTGTTTGTAGGGATGAGACTGTGCAGGAGGACCAGGGCAGCCTCGCTAGGTGGCTGTTCTGTGCCCGAGGGACACTTTCCTGGTTACCTGATGGACGTCAGCGGTGCAGGGACCCTTTCCCAGAGCTATCGGTATGAAGTGTGTCTGACTGGAGACTCTAGGACCACAGATTTAAATTTATTTTAATCCCATTATTCCCAATAGTCTTATTCCAGACACATATGTTGAATAGTTAATATTATAGAAATGACTTAGCTATCTTTAAGAGAATGATAGAATAGTAGTTGTTGGAATGTCCGTATTTTTTTTTTTTTTTTGGTTATCAGTAATATTTCCTGAGATTATGTTTTATTTCTATGTGGTTTTACTTTTTGTGTCAGTTAATGCTTCAACTGTCTCCTGTCGTACTTACACAGTCTTACTGTATGTTGTCTCTTACTCAGAAGACAGTAAAATCTTCACTATATCAATTTGCTCTTGATTTTAGGAGGTATTCTAACTATGCAATGTGCTAAGCTTATTGCAATGTTTGCATATACCTGCAGATAATGTACCTTGTTCAATATCATCCCTATTCTTCAGCCTTCCCCTTTGCTTTCATGTTGCCCTGAATACAACCAAAAAGTGAAAATGTTCTACTCTTGTCTTTGTATGTGTGACTATTGTCCATCTATTTTCCTGCAAATGATGTAGTTTTTCATTCTTCTTTATGAATGAGTAAAATCACAGTGTGTTGGGTGGAGGTATGAATCAGATGATAGGGTGCTTGCTCAGCATGCACAACACCCTAGCTTTGAGTACCAGCATCACACAGTATGCTGAAGCTCCATTTGTATTATGTGAGACACTGTCTCTCTCAAAAAAAGCAAAAAGAACAAAACAAAACTTAATTTTGCATAAACACTATATTTTCTTTATTCATCCATTACAATAATTTTAAAATATACAGTGTTAAGTACAAATGAAATATGTTTTCTTTAAGAAATATAGTAATTTGCAACCCTTTTAGGAGCAATAGTTTTAACCCATTTCTTCTTTTTTAAACCCATTTCTTTATTGACACTAGTTATCACTGTTTTTGAGACAGGGTCTCTCTACATTGCCTAAACTGTCATGGAACTCACTATGTAGACCTAGTTGGCCTCAGTCTCATGGAGATCTATCTACTCTTCTCTCTCCTGAGAGATTGAAGTCATTCACTACCCTACCCACAAGCAATTAATATTCAATATTTCATTTTTTATATTGGCCTAAAAACCAAAACCATAGATACATCCACTGGATTACTTTTATACTTTCATTCTTCATGGTTGTTAAAAGTATAGTCACAGTGTAGAGGAATAAATTAAGCATACATCATTTTAAACTGAGAATTCTTTCCTTTTCATGTTATTTGGTGAGGTGTATAGCTAGATGTCACTTTGGTATGTAAATTCTGGACTATTGTAGTAAAAATCCATGGGATAATTTTTTTAAAGTACGACAGTAAGGAGTTTTGTTAAGCCATATTGGTTACTGATACACATTTCTCACATATATGGTGATGCAGGAGGGAAATATCTTCCTAGCTTACTGTCAAGGTTCCTTCAGATTGTAATCTGACAATTTAGAATTGCTCAGAATCTTGCTCAGATAATAACTTTTGGTCCATATTCTGCCCCCACCATTGTAAAAAAATAGGTATGAAAATGGGAATTAGAGAACACTATAACTGAGAAAGGTTGACTACAACTTAGAATTAAATCTAGAAGGAACCAAAACTTCAAATAATATGGCTATTTTGAATGAAATATGTCTTAGTTTTCTACTGCTGTGATTAAATACCATGGCTAAGGCAAGAAGAAAGAGTTCTATCAAGAAATACTATATGAAGAAGAGAGAATTCCTGGGAACTTACATTTTCAGAGCATGAGAGTCCATGTCCATCGTGGCACGGAGTATTGCCAGGAGTATGCAGAAGGGAGACATAGCCCTGAAGAAGTACCTGGAAACTTACACCTTGACCCAGGAGCAGGAGACTGACTGGGAATGATGTGGGCTTTGGAAACCCCTAAGCACACCCCCCATGACACAACAGCTCGATCAAGGTCACACATGATCCTTCCCAAACAGTTCCACCACCTGCAGACCAAGTATTCCAGTATATGAGCCTATGGGACCATTCTCATCCAAACCACCATAGATTGCACTCCATGGTAGAACACATTTTTATTGTGCTCATGGCCTTAGGTTCTATCTCCAGCACAAAAGAAGGACTTTTCTTTGGGTGGCTGCTCTACTAATATTTTCTCTAGTTAAGATCTTTGTGAATCTTGTACAGTGCAGGCTATCTAGAGCCCTTTCTTCTCATTTGTGCCACACCCCACAAGTTCCACTTTTACAGATTATATGTGCATGAACAAGTGTTCATAATTATTCAAAGATACATTGTAGAAAGTTAAAGGATGAAAAAAGATATACCATATAGACAGTAAACAAAAGGAGTTTGAAGAATAGCAAAAATCAAACAAAAATAATTTTAAAGATCATTAAAACATTGTTAAAGAGGACAATCATAGATGATAAAAGGGAGAACCTATTGGGAAAATGTAACAACTTAAACATATATGTACCTAAATAAATGTCTTAAGTTTCTTTTTCTGTTACTATGGTAAAACACACTAAAACAACCCAGGGATAAAGTATTTATTCTGGCTCACAGTTCAAGGGTATAGTCAATCCTGGCAGGAAGTCCTAGAGCTTGAATTAGCTGGTCCCATGACATTTACAGCCAGAAAGCAGAGAGCAATGAATGCTTGTGTTCACTCTACCTTTTTATTTTTATGTATCCAGGATTCTAGTCAAAGGACTAGTGCTACCTACAGTGGGCATGTCTTCTCACTGAAAATGAATCAGTGATTAATCCCCTAAAGACATGCCCAGAGGCACATGTCCCAGGTGATTCTAGATTGTATCAAGTTAACAATTGAGATCATCCATTACAACAAATGAAACAAAATTTGACACAAATAGTATTTAAATTTGATGACTTAATTTGACTGGGGTTAAAAAGAACACCTACATCATTAATGAGGCTCACCTTTGGGTGTACCTGTGAAGGTTTGTCCAGAGATATTTAGCTGAGGAGATAAGACACACCTTAAATGTGTCGGGACCATTTCATGGGGTGGGGCCCAAGACTGAATAAAAAATGCTAAAGTGAGCTGAGCACCAGGAAACATCTTTCTCTGATCCCTGACTTTTTATGCAATGTGCCCAGCCATTTCATGTTCCCACTATTATGTCTTGTACATGATGGATTGTATTCCCTCAAATGCTGGGCCAAAATAAACCCCTTCACTAAATATTTTTTTTACAGCAATGGATAAAGACCAAGAATTAAAAACCAATTATAGGTCCAATGAAATGGTTTGGTGTGTAAAGGCGGTTTTCACTAAGTCTGATGACCAGAGTTCAACCCTCTGTCACACATGAACCATGCCATATGCCTTCCATGAATAAATGTAATTTTCTAATTAAAAACAAGCTACAACTAACTGAGCATTTGACTAAAAAACAGCAGGAGACACATTTTTTCCAATTGCTAATAGCACATTCCTCAGGATGGACTTTCATAAAACATGATTGTACAAATTTTAAATATTGAAACTAAGCAATGCTTGATCTAAAATTACAATGGATTTAACTTGGAAATTCAGAAAATTTACAAAATCATATGGAAATCAACATATTGCTAAGCAGTAAAAGAAATCACAAGGAACACAGTAAAGTCCTCCGAAATGACTGAACATGAAATACAACATAGGAAAGTGTATTGTGTGCAATTAAAGTTACTGCTTAGAGGACCAGTAACCAATGGCCTAGTTAAATGTTTCCCCCTGGGGCTCCAGTTTTCTTATTTTTCAGAGAATTCACAGCAGCTACACTCATGCTGAAACCTGTGTCAGACACATTCTATAGTTTTCACCTAAAATTAATGGCTAATCCCTGGCACATCCTTCACTCTCTGTTCATAATAGTATGAAGAGATGGCAGCTTTACTGTTTCATGCTCAAAAATGGTTTAGGTTTGCACTTGCTTTCTCTTGGAACTGTGATACCCACAATTTAAAGGGTATACATAAAGCTCATTATAAAATGCACTTCACCCATGATAGAATAAACCATATCAAATCAGGAGCCAAAATAAAGCCTCCTATATGGTGCAGGACATATAGGTAGATAAGTAAGAAGATTTAAAGACTTGGAAGAAACATATGGATTTCTCTTGTTTGATTTTGTCCTGCTCAGATCCTGAAATTACATCAATTCCTGTTATCATTTCAAGCCTCATTTGCCGTATTTGTTAAAATCCTTTAATCTGCTTCTTGGCCTAACATTGTATGATTCAATCATGGTTTACCTCATCTCTATCTCTTATATCACACAGTAAATGTCAAACTTCTTTATTCACCAGTTCTGCTATTTGCACACCACTGCAGAGAAATAGAAGCCATCCCTAGAAAAACACCATCTCTTTCTTAGGATGATGTGGTATGAATTACTTGAAATATTTGCATCTCTAAAAGGTGCTTATTTCTAACAACCAAACTGGTGTACCTATCATGAGGAGGATTCAAAATTAAGCATTTGGTTTACTCGGTTGCATTTTGCAAAATACAAAAGAACTGTCAAATTCCACCAATTGGTCATTGAATTAACTTCCTACTTCGTGCTAAAAATTATTCTGGTACGTGCCCCAGAACGAAATATCTTTATTAGCTATGCAACCTAAAATAAGAACAACATTTGTAAACATAAAAAGTATAAATATTTCTACATGTTGTTCATTTGGAAATTTTCAAAAGGTCTCCGACTTGAAAACACTGTCAATTTCTCAATAAGAACGCAGGGTGGCGCTGCAGGCTAAGATTATGAATAATCGCAAAAAAAGCTGCCAGGTCCTTTGTGTTGCAAGACAGAATCAGAAACACAGGCAGGAAGCATAGCAAAGAATACCGGGTTCTGAATGGGTCTGGGCCACGGTATACTAAATAAATAAAGATTACGAGCAATTGAGTAAAGAATCTCCCAACGGAGAAATCAGAATCCAGCATTCAAGACATTCAGAGTCAGCTGAAAGATTAGACACAAGCACCATGGAGAAACTGGAGAGAAATCATCCAAACAGGCAAGTGATTCCTTTCCTTTTTGTGCTGCTTTGGGATCAGGTTCTAACGGTGCCTACTCGGTACTCTGTCCTGGAAGAAACAGAAAGTGGCTCCTTTGTAGCCCATCTGTCCAAGGACCTGGGCCTGAGACCTGGGGACCTGACAGCCCGGTCTGCTCGAGTGGTGTCTGATTATGATAAACAGCAGTTGATTCTGGATCCTGAGACAGGAGATCTGCTTCTGAGGGAGAAACTAGACCGGGAAGAGTTGTGTGCTTCTGTGGAGCCCTGTGTGCTACATTTCCAGGTGTTCCTAGAAAAGCCAGTGCAATTTCTTCAAGGAGAATTGCTGATCCAGGACATCAATGACCACTCACCAGAATTCCCAGATACGGAAATGCTCTTGAAAATACCAGAAAACAGCCAGCCAGGCTCACGGTTTCCACTGAAATTAGCTCAAGACTTGGATGTGGGAAGCAATGGGCTTCAACATTACATGGTCAACTCCAATTCTCATTTTCATGTCATCACTCGAAATGACAGTGAAGGCAAGAAATACCCGGAATTGGTGCAGGACAGAGCCCTGGACAGAGAGGAGCAGGCAGAGCTGAGCTTGACCCTCACAGCTCTGGATGGCGGTGATCCACCTAGGTCAGGAACAGCCATGGTTCGAATCCTGATCCTGGACATCAATGACAATGCCCCTGAATTTGTGAACACCCCCTATGAGGTGCAGGTCCTGGAGAGCAGTCCCCCAGACTCCCCAGTCCTGACTGTCCTGGCCCAGGATGCAGATGCTGGCATCTTTGGAAGAGTTTCCTATGGTTTGTTCCAAGCCTCAGACGAAATTCAACAAACTTTCTCAATAAACGAAGTCACGGGAGAAATACGACTGAGAAAGGGATTGGATTTTGAAAAAGTTAAATCTTACCATGTGGAGATCGAGGCCACAGACGGAGGGGGGCTTTCTGGGAAGGGCGCTGTGCTGATAGAGGTGGTGGATGTGAACGACAATGCCCCAGAGCTGACCATATCTTCACTGACCAGCTCAGTCCCAGAAAACGCTCCAGAAACTGTGGTTGCCATCTTCCGAATACGAGACAGAGATTATGGAGAGAACGGAAAAATCGATTGTTCTATTCCAGATACTTTACCATTCGTTTTAAAACCCTCTAACAAGAACTTTTACACTTTGGTGACAGAGGGCCCTCTGGATAGAGAGACCAGAGCTGAATACAACATCACCATCACAGTCACTGACCTGGGCACACCAAGACTCACAACCCAGCACACCATAACAATGCAGGTGTCCGATGTCAACGATAACGCCCCCGCCTTCACACAAACCTCCTACACCCTGTTTGTCCAGGAGAACAACAGCCCCGCCCTGCACATAGGCACCATTAGTGCCACAGACTCAGACTCAGGCTCCAATGCCCACATCACCTACTCGCTGCTGCCCACCCACGACCCGCAGCTGGCCCTCTCCTCTCTCATCTCCATCAATGCAGACAATGGGCAGCTGTTTGCGCTCAGGGCGCTGGACTATGAGACCCTGCAGACCTTCGAGTTCCGCGTGGAAGCCACAGACCAAGGCTCACCAGCACTCAGCAGCCAGGCACTGGTGCGCGTGCTTGTGCTGGATGCCAATGATAATGCGCCCTTCGTGCTCTACCCTCTGCAGAATGCCTCCGTGCCCTGCACCGAGCTGCTGCCCAGAGTGGCGGAGCCTGGCTACCTGGTCACCAAGGTGGTGGCAGTGGATCGCGATTCTGGCCAGAATGCCTGGCTGTCTTTCCAGCTGCTCAAGGCCACGGAGCCAGGGCTATTCACCCTGTGGGCTCACAATGGTGAGGTGCGCACTGCCAGGCTGCTGAGTGAGCGCGATGCTCCCAAGCATAGGCTGCTGCTCCTGGTCAAGGACAATGGGGATCCTCAGAGGTCTGCCAGTGTCACTCTGCATGTGCTGCTGGTGGATGGCTTCTCCCAGCCCTACCTTTCTCTACCCGAGGTGTCACACGAACCAGCACAAGATGAGGACTCACTCACTCTGTACCTGGTCATTGCCCTGGCATCTGTGTCTTCGATCTTCCTTTTGTCTGTGCTGCTGTTCGTGGGGGTGAGGATGTGCAGGAGGGTCAGGGCGGCCTCTCTGGGTGGCTGCTCTCTTCCTGAGGGACACTTTCCTGGTCACCTGATGGATGTCAGCGGCGAGGGGACCCTGTCCCAGAACTACCAGTATGAGGTCTGTCTGACAGGGGACTCTGGGACTGGTGAGTTCAAGTTCCTCAAACCTAATTTGTTGCTTCAGAATGCTGGGAGAGACTTCAAGGAAAGTCCCCACTGCAGGGATAGCTTTGTATTCCACTAAGTGATTTAAATTCCTAGAGATTGTTCAATTCTTTTAATTCAAGAAATGATCTTGTTTCTAAGAAGTTCTCTACTAGTCGAACCTACTTATATCCTTAATTGTGCTATTTTTATTGGTGTGAAGGTACTAGGCATTTAGTTGTACTAATCATATTCTACCTTTTTCTCTGCATACAAATATCTCTTTGTTATTAATACTCCCATAACCCTTAAAATCCCAAATAGTATAAATTGTTTTTGAATGATACTCCTAATGATCTTCTGATTCATTTTAGTGCCCTCAAGAAAACTTGCAGTTGTGTATAAATTTGTGGCACTTGCTTTCTCTGTTTAATTTCATCTTTCATGGGTAGATTGCTTAAATTACTTATGTTGCCTGTTGTTCTGCTTGAATAGAAAGCAGCATTATGTTGTGTTCACTTTCAGGCTAAGTGTCCTGAATAGTCAATCAATAAAATTTAAATAATAGTGTACACAAACATTGTGACACCTTTTGTTTGTGAGCATCCTGCACACTAGTGGTCCTATTTACTTGCAAATGTTATGGAAATACTAAGCTTAAAGTTTTTAATTCTTACTTGGTGAAAATTAAAGAGAGAATGTGTAATTTCTCATTCCACTTATTAAATAAAATGGCTTTATTACTTCTTTGCCATGAGTCTCAGAACCAAAAATTTGTCCTTTCTTTCTCAAAAGGAAAATGCAGCATTATTGAGGGTATAACATTTATCATTATCCTCCTCATACAAAGAAGTCCAAGCATGATGTAATGCGTGTCTTTTCGAGAAGCTTCTCCCACCTTCAAATGAGATTTCTTTTGAAGGCTGGGTAGTCTGATTATTTTTTTTTTAGAAGATTTCAATTTTTAAGTAAATGAAAAATTTGGTGCAAAATTTATTTTTGGTGTTAAATAATTTTGTTTTGTTGTTTAGTGTTCATTTCAGTTACTTTGAGTTAAACTGATGAATAATAGTGATTATTATTTTGTTAATCAATTGGAATAGTAGCAAACTTACTGATTTGTAATTGTAGCATTCTGTTGTGTTCAATAAGCCTGGTGAACTGATTGCTTGGTTTCTAACTCGTTACATGTGTGAAGATAAGTGAAACTATCAAAACCACTTGAACTTTTGGCAGAAAATGAAAAATTGAAAATTGTTTTTTATATCCCACTATTTCCTGAAGAAAAAGTATTCCTGGCTATAACTCTAATTTCACATAGCCTTTGAAGTTGAAGCATTTTGGCAAAGACTGAGAGAAATAATTAAGTCACATAGGCACTGAGAGGAGAACTTTAAGTGAGTTAATTAGGCAGAAGGAAAACAATCCCAAAAGGATCGCAGACTTGTGTCAAGACATAAAAAGTAACAGGAAAGGTTACCAGTGGACATTGGCCAGGCATTGACTGCATAAAGTCAGAATAGCGGGGGGTCTCAAAATTCGTGGAAACAATAATCCAAAGGCAGAGAGATAGACGTAAAGAAAAACGAAAGAAAGCATGAAACCTAAAAATGAAAAGGGAGTTGGGCTTGGTGGCACACTCCATCAATCTCAGCACTAAGGAGGAAAAGGCAGGTGGATCACTGAGATGGAGGCCAGCCTGGTCTACAGGGTCTACCAGGCCAGACAGCCAGGGATATGTAGTCAGATCCTGTCTCAAAAAAAAAAATTTTTTTTTTTTGGTTTTCTAAACCAATTATCCAGTCATCTTATTACTTTTTCTTCTGATCATTAATTAATGGGCCTATTTTGTATGGTAATTTGGACTTTGGGTGGAGCTTTTTATTTTTAAAATTTAAATTAAAAAACCATCGTATTTTACATACCGATCCCAGTTCCCTCTCCTCCCCGTCCTCCCACTCGCTCCACCATCTCCCCATCCCACCCCTCATCCACACCTCAGAGAGGGTGAGGCCTCTCGTGGGGGTCATCAGCTGGAGCAGGATGAGGCTGAGAGAGTATCCCTCCATAGGGAATGGGCTCCAAAAAGCCAGTTCATGAAGTAGGGATTAATACTGGTTCCACTGCCTTGTGGGGAACTTTTAAAGACTTTTCTCTTTCTTTGAAATATTTTTTTTTGTTTATACAACTGCATTTCATGTTTACTTTTACTGTTTCAATGGACCTTCCTTAAGGATATTTTATATGGAAATTAAATATATTTTGAGAAAAATAAAGTTTTCTATTTGAATTTTGCTTTTCTCCCTTCCCTTTATTATTTCTTTCTGGAAACTTTATTTATTTATTTTTGAGATTCTCACTCTGTTCTCCATACCTTTTGACTTGAAATTTTTGTTTCTCTCTGCTATGCTGGCAGCATCTCAGCTTGCCCCAAGTCTGTCAGTGTACAAAGATGAACAGGTATCTCAAAGTTATGTTTGCAAATTTATTTCAATGATAATCTATTTCTAGCTTCATTATTTTTTTTATTTTTCTTTCTTTCTTTCTTTCTTTATTTATTTTTATTTAATTTTATATAACAAAGTCCAATTAAATGAAAACAAACATTTATACACAATATTTGGGAATTTGGGCGTCGTTCTTTCCAAACTACTTCCTGCTGGTAAGGGGCGCTGTCTTGGGGGATCGAAGAAGATTCAGATATCCTAGCTGTAGTCTGTAGGGCTGTTTTGTCCAGCTGTTTGGAATGTAGGATCAGCTTGTACTCTGTTTCAGGCGGTCTGGTGTGATCAAACCACATTAGTCTGGAAGGAATCCACATCTTTTCATTTTCTGTGGAAACAAAAATAGAAATACTTTTCCCCAGTAACTTGTTCTTCACCTTAAATTTTGGAGTCAAAGCGTTTTTTTTTTTTTTTTTTTTTTTTTTTTATTATTTTACATGTCGATCCCAGTTCCCTCTCCCCCCCTCCCTCCCTCCCCCAAGCCCTCCCTCCCTCCTTCCCTCCCTTTGCCCTCTCTACCCCTCCCATGCACCTAAACACCCTCCCCTCCCAACCCCCCACCACAATACAATATGTAGGGGAATGCCATCCAGTTGGGGTCATGTAGATCTGACAGGTCCTGTGAAGTAGGGACTAGGGCTTCTCTCCTATCTCTAGAATAAGGCAGTTATCCCTCCATGGGGGATATGTTTGCAAAGTCCTTTGTGCACCAGGGATACATCCTGGCTCCACTGTCTGAGGTCTCTTAGGCTGCTCAGACCTTCTGGCTGAGACCCATATTCAGGGGGGTCCGAGTCAGACCCCTGTTGGCTTCCCAGCTATCAGTCTAGTGGCCCTTAGCTCCTCCTTGTTCAGGTAAGCTGTCTCTATGTACTTCTACCGCATGGTCTTGTCCTCTCCATCTGCTTCTGGGTTCTAGTTTGACTCAGTGTTTATGTATGGGTGTTTGCTCCTGTTTTCAACAGGCATTAGTTGAGGACTCCATGGAGAAGTTAGTTGTTGATCTCACTCTCCTGGAAGGGCATTTATGATAGCCTTTCCACGGAAGCTGAGATTGTTAGTTGGGAGCAGCTTGTAGTTCCCTCGACCTTTCTTTGTGTTCAACTTTATCTTCAAACCAATATTGGCTCCCCTTTTTGTTCTCTCTCTCTGTCTCTGCTCTCTCTCTTTCCTATTTTCTATTCCTAACCAGGCTCAATCCTCCTGGTCGCCATGCCTTCCTCTCCTCCCTCCATTCTCCTACTTCTCTCTCCATTAGCTGTCCTCCCCCACTATACCTGAGGTCTGGGGGACTTGTCCCTTCCCAGTTCTGTGAGGGACTTTATATGAATCTCTTAGAATACAACTTGTATCCTAGTTCCTCTGGTGGTGTGAATTATAGGCTGGTGATCCTTTGCTCTAGGTCTAAAATGAATACATACTATGTTCCTCTTTTTGTGACTGGGTTACCTCATTCAGGATGGTTTCCTCAAGTGCCATCCACTGCCTGCGAATTTCAAGATACCATTATTTTTTCTGCAGAGTAGTATTCCATTGTGTAGATGTGCCACATCTTCATTAACCATTCTTCAATTGAAGGGCATCTAGGTTGCTTCCAGGTTCTTGCTATTACAAATAGTGCTGCTATGAACATAGTTGAACAGATGTCTTTGTTGCATTGATGTGAATCCTTTGGGTATATGCCTAAGAGGGGGTTTGCCGGGTCCTGTGGTAAACTAATTCCCATTTTCCTGAGGAACCGCCATACCGATCTCCAAAGTGGCTGTATGAGTTTGCACCCCACCAGCAGTGGAGGAGTGTTCCACTTTCTCCACATCCTCTCCAACATAAGTCATCACTGGTGTTTCTAATTTTAGCCATTCTGGCAGGGGTAAGATGGTATCTCAAAGTTGTTTTGATTTGCATTTCCCTGATACTAGCTTCATTATTTTTAACAATTAAAGATCTCATGTGACTTTTTTGGGAGGGGGGATTTTCCAGACAGGGTTTCTCTGTGTAGCTCTGTAGACGAGGCTGGCTTCAAACTCACAGAGATCTGCTTTCCTCTGCCTCCCGAGTGCTGGGATTAAAGGCGCGTGCACAACCACCCAGCCCTCAGGTGATTTTCAATATCACCTTGGGATTGAGTTCCCATCTCTCAATTCTCCCTTGGTTCTTTTAGATAGAAATCATCGAGATTACCACGTATTGATGATGGAGAAGTCATACATACACACACACCTACATAATCTACATGTACAACTTTTATCAGATAAATTACACTGTCCTATATTACATCTACTTTCCAGCTGTCATAAGTTTAATGTGAGGAATTACTGTTGCTAACCTTGGCCACTTTCTCCTGTACTTTACTGAGAAGTGTTGGTACTACGAGAGCAGATCCATGAGGAAATCATTTCTTTCCAATGGATTCTCATATACAGTGTGCTGTTGCTGCCTTTCTTTTCCTTCCTGCTGTCTTTGCTCTCACTCTTGTTCTTTCTTATGTTCTATCTCACTTATTCTAAAGATTTAGATGCAAGAAGCACATCACACAGGAACTGTGTGTTTGTTGAATGTGTGCAGGATATTTTCTAAAAGTTAAAATTTGAATATG